GACTCGGGCGGCCTGCCACCTGCCCCGCGGCCCTCCGCGCGGCCCGGCTCGCAGCGACTTCCCGCAGCCCAGCGGGCCTGCAGGACGGTGGAAATGTGCCCCGCTCTGCACGGTCCTCGGGGAGGAGAGTTCCGGCGCCAGATGGTGCTTGTCCTGACTCATTAAAAGTTGTTTCTGAAAAGTTGACCCTTGACCCATGAAACATGGGCCCCAAAGACCTAAAAACAGCAGCTGCAAGTCCTCCGAGGGGACCAGATGGCTCACCTGGCGTCACTCGGAGACACCACCTGTGTGTTCCCTTCTCCACTCCCAAAGCAAGAGGACGCCCGGGACCCCTTGGTGGTCATCTCAGGCCCTTAAGCAGCATTCGGGGCCTTGGAACCCAGCGGGCATCCCGAAACAGACGCTGGGCACTGAGAAGCCACCTTCCACTGCCCTTCTGGGGAGACCCTGGGTCACCCCGGGTCATATGGCTGTGGCCAGGGAGCAGCTTGTACTTTCTGGTCATCTAGAGCCAGTGCAGCCTAAGGGATACACGGTGGCCAGCGGCCTCAGGAAGCCCTGGCAAGGCAGTCACACCTGTGTTCACCCCGGGGTACGTCCGGGTCTCTGAAAAGGTGCCCCGCCCCGTTGGGATATGAATGAGTCACTCAACTGTCGATTAGATTCCGCTCTTTAAAGTATGACTTTATCCTTGTGGGGACCCCAGCAGACGTTTATTTCCACTTCACACAATCCCACAGAACTGCCTTGGGATCTTGGGTGCATCAGGCTGAGATGCAGGTGATAACTGGATTTCACGGTGAGTCCATCTTGCAGCAGTCCTAAGACCACAAGCCTGCGCCCAGGAGGTGCTGCGGTTAACCGGACTCGGAGCTACAACGAGAAACCAAGATTCAGGCACAAGGGCCTGGCGGGCTTTGCTGCAAATTCTAAAGGTCAGAGACAGCTCTCTGGGAGGCTGACGCAAGAGGCTCACAAGTTCAAGACCAGCCTGGGCATCTTAGGGACTTTAGAGAGATACTGTCTCAAAATAAAAAATGTAAAGGGCTGAGACTGTAGCTCAGTATAAAGGCGCTGGGCTCCATCCCCACTCCTGGAAAAAAAAGTCATTTGCAACTCTTCAGCTGTATTTGCTACCCTGCGCTCTCATATTGAAATTTACTGAATATTACATAATGATAAGGGCGACTTTATTTTCTCAGTTTTGTAACAAGGGAACTGCATTCAAAGGGAATCATTACTGGCTAACTCAGCTCAATAACATTATCTAACAAAATAGATTAGACACCACTCTACCCATATGAAAAGGTGACATTTAAATCATCCATATTAATACCCGAAGCCTTAGGCTTGGTTTGTAATGAAAATGCACTCCACACGGGTTTTTTAAATGTTATGTGTTTTTTAAAGGACTTCTTGAGCATATGCCCTGTGATCTCCTCTCAAGAAGCACTAAGGCAGTGTTGCAATGGAATCAGAACCGCTCAGCCCTAGTCCTGAAAAAGTGTTTGTGAGCAAAATCTTCCTCTCTGGCTCTCATATCTGGTTCTGTGGAGAACTAGCAGAGGCATACTTCAGGGCTTTGAGTAATCTTCTTTAGGGTTAGTAACTGAATGTGCCATGTTCAACTGAGAGGATTCTAGGTTTTTCTCCGGTACCGGGAACCGAACTCATGACCTTGCGCATGCCAGGCAGGCGCTTTTGCCGCTGAGCTAAATCCCCAGCCCCCTGAGAGGATTCTAATTAAGGTGTTTGTTAGGGTAATAAAAGTTGCAGCGGAAAATTGCAGTCCAGACAAAAGAGATTTACAGATCAGCAAGGAGCCAGACCCACGCTGCAACCCGGAAGAGCATCGTCTGCAGCCAGCGCACGGGCGACTTCTAAGGACACGCCGTCCGATCGCACAGGGCCAGCTTCGTGTGGGCTCTGAGCACTTGACCCGTGGCTTGAATTTTTAATTTCTTTCCATTTTAAATAATTTAAGATTAAAAACTGATTCACAGTTTGGAAAATTTTAAGATAGGCTTGAAAAAGTATGTAAGTGTGTGAATTTAAACCGATAAATTTCCGGACATCTAAATGCAGATCAAGTACTTCTAATGAAAAGTGATCACCTGCATCAGGCTGTGTTGCAAATATAAAGCGCACAGCAGATTTTTAAAGCCTTGGTTAAAGAAAAAGAAGGGAAGATATTCATAAACGTGATGTGGATTATATATTCAGGTGCTAATTTTTGTAGACTGAGATAAATAAACATAAAAGTTAGTTTCAACTTCTTTGACTTCTTCACAGCTAGGTACCGAGAAGCATAAACTGCAGTGTGTGGCTTAAATGGTATCTCTGTTGAACAACGCTTCTCCATGTGGTCAAAACAGAATAGAGAGGCTCATTTGCTGAAGAATCAAAGGCAAGTGATGAGAAGCTATTGACGATCGGTTCTGGAGTTGAGTGCTACCTGACTCTACCCTGCCAAGCTGTGGTATTCAAAGGGAACACCTAGTAGGTGGGTCTCTCTAGTAGTCAGCAGTAGGTAGCATTACCATCTTACTAAAGAGCTAAGTGGAAGACATTGAAATCATACAAATGAGTGTTAACAGATCGCAGTCATTCATAAACAAAAAAATGTACCAAATGTGACAGATTCCACAGAATTAACAGTGAGTTCATAAATTCTTATGCCTTATGATTTAAATATAGCTAATATCTAATAGACTCTGCCAGCCAATCTCCATTCAGTTGAGGGCACATTTTGTTTCGGGCCCGCCAGGCTATTTAAGACTTTCACTAAACCACACAAGAAAACTTTCAGGCCGACGGTTCTGCTGGGTACCAAAGAGCTGCCCCAGCTAAGAAAAACATCAGCAAAAGCTCTCCCACCAGTACGCAGGTCCTGACTGCATCCCTGTGGTCAGCAAGGTGCATTTTGTTGTGTATCCACAGTTATGACTGCTGATGCAGAGTGGGCCTCAAGAGAAAAGATTATTGTCTTTGGACCTGCAAGACCGCTGTCGTTTATATCACATATATGGCCTCAGAAGGGCTGAAAAGTGACAGTGAGCACTTGGAAACACTTGTCCTCCTGGCCTTCAGTATCTAAAGAGCCACTCCTGCCCAGGAGGCAATTCCATGTGCTTTCTGGTTGTGCCACTGTGAGACACAGGCTGTGTCTCAGTGACAGTCACCCTCTTTCCAACCTCAACCCCTCCAGGCTCACCTATGCCGCACCACTGGAATGCCCCAAGTGCGCTGTGCTACTGGGCTCCTCCACACCCCGCTGACATCTGTCTTCCTGAAAGTCCTCCCCATCTGCTGCCAGACAGGTGTGCCAGAGCTGGCCTTTCAATCCGTCTGCTGGGAGCCTTCCCTGACACCGCTGTTCCTCCCCACACCCAAGGGGTTGATCAATCCCTCACCCTGCCCACTTTGTCCCCTGGCCACACTTCTGCTCTGGCCTCTAGGCAGGTCCTCCCCCTGGCAGGTCCCCTACCCAACTGCGGGCTGGGTGATGTGTCTCACTTAGTTCTTTCTGCCAGGCCCAGTGCCCTGGCGATCGGTAGACACCCAGTCTCCTAAATGACCTCCATTGACTTGTCCTGTGTTGTAGATTCCCCTGTGCGTCCACATTCTTTTGAATTTCTAAGAAGCATCATGTAAGGAATTGAAAATGTATGGTAAGGAGGATAAAGTTTACAACCAGGAGCTATTGGAGCAGAGAAGAGAGCATTCACACAGTGCAGAATAACTTCCCAGTGCATGTTACTGAGTAGCCAAGGGTCTGTTGTGTCTCCTGCAGCATAGTAATAGCTTAACACTGAGCTGCTGATTCACTGCCGTGTGATTTTATTGCAATCATTCATTTTTACCCATACAGAAGAACTTCTGATCCTGGTTATTTCAATGGAAACTTTGTAAATGACTATCTGCATAAACCAAAGTTTACTGACAGCAACACCTGGTCAGGAAAAAGTACTTTAAAAGTAAATTGAAAAATATAAAATGGGGGAGCTGGGGATTTAGCTCAGCGGCAAAAGCACCTGCCTGGCAAGCGCAAGGTCGTGAGTTCAGTTCCCAGTACCGGAAAAAAACAAAAAAAAAAAAAAAAAAAAAAAAAAAAATATAAAATGGAATTGCGTGAAGGCAGAGTACCAGTAACCACCGAGCAGGAAAGTCCATCTCAGAGAGGAGTCATCACAAATCCAGTGGCTCTCCCTAAGCAAAAGCTGCACCACACCATCATAGCTGTGCAAAACTGGAGAAGAAAAAGATAAGACATGTGAAGGTGACATTTGGTGGTGAGCTCGACACTGGTGTTTTCCATTGGTAGTTGGAAAGATCAGTTGAAAATGGACATCAATAGCATCATCTTCAAATGAAAGGACAATGTGTGTTTAAACGTTCACAAGTTTATGGGTATGGATACACCCATATTATTGTAGCTTCCGAACGGTAGTTTTATAATGTGACATAGCAAAATAACCCTTTAAAAGTCCCTA